CAAAATCTATCATCTTGTCTATCTGAAACTGTGCACTTTTCATTAAACATCTCTCTATTCCCTACAGCATCATAGGATTTTAAGCACAAGCACTTCTTAAGTTTGAATTAACCCTCTGGCAGTGCAATCAGGAAGATGATTGGGAAAGAAAGTGGTTAGGAAGCTACAGGTTGTGGCTCAAACAGTTACAGGAAAGTAAACAATCGGCTGGTGGTGGTGGGAAAGAGGAAGCCTCAAAATGCCACCTGAATTTATGCCTTGAGCAACAGAAGAAAATGGAAGGAGTAGAGAAAGGCCCAACAGAAGAGCAGCACCAGTCCTGAGCAGGATTGTGATCTGGAAGAAGAGGTCCCCACGAGAGCGTCACCCAGGTGACTAAGGAAATGTGTCAAGTGCTGGGAGAATTCAGAATCCACTGAATTTTTTAAAAATGTTTTTGTAGTTGTAGATGGACAGAATGCCTTTATTTTACTTGTTTATTTTTATGTGGTGCTGAAGATGGAACCCAGTGCCTCACACATGCCAGGCAAGTGCTCTGCCACTGAGCTACAGCCCCAGCCCCAGAATCCACTGAATTTAACCACTGGGATATTGCTGGGGGCAAACCAGCAGCAAGGGATTGCAAAATAAATGGTTGAATAACTGGAGAGGTGGGCAGCTGCTGTTTCAGAAGTCACTGTTTCTGAAAAAAGGAGAGAAACAGAATGTGTTTTAACCAAGATGATTTCCTGCCAAGGCCTGTGACCCAATTGAAAAGGAGAAGCCAGGGGAGGTCATGACTGCCCAGCAGAGGATCCCAGTATTGGTCCCTCTCAGACCAGCTCTAGGCAGGGGGAAAGAGCTAAGGCTTCTCTAAGGACACAGTCAAGGGAGGCCTGGGATCCCTCCTTGTGGACTCTGCAGGACTGAGTGGGAATGGGGAGCACCTTCCTCCAGGGACTTCCCCAAATGAGCAGAAGCCCAGCTGAGTCTGCAGCAGATAGAGGAGAAAAGCATCAGAGACTGACAGAGAAAGTGGACAGAGTGGGCCCTGCGATGGTGGTTCCAAAGCCCTCATCTCCAGGTGCAAATTACAAACTCTCCCTTTTTCTTCCTTTTTTAAAAAATCTGGATCCAAGAGGAAGGAAGGAAGGAAGGCTGAGAATTTGGACCTCACCATGAAGAAGTAAAGGGTTACAAAAGAAAGCCATTACCTGAACAGAGGGGCCTCATGGGGATAGAACTAGAGTTCTGGCTGACTGGATTCCTGGCAGTGCAGCGGTAGCTGCCACTGTCCCCAGATCTCCAGGAGACCCTGAGAGTGGTTCCTCCATGGGACACAACTTCCCCCTGGCCGTGGGGGTCCCAGCTGTACTGAACATCTTCTCCAGCTTCTTCCACGAAGCAGGCCAAGGTGACGAAGCAGGTCCTGTTTCTCATGATCTGGGAGCGGACAGTGATATTGGGCTTCTTCAGCCTCCCTGTGCCAAGAAGAGTCTCAAGCTATAAGAGAGCTCAGGTCCAGGGAAGTAAGAAAGGACAAGGATGAAAAAATTAATGTGCATCCCTCCTCCCCTCCTCACCGTAGACATGCAGGGTGAAATCCTTGGTGATGTTGGTCAGGGGAGAACGCAGACTTATGCAAGCTTTATAAGTGCCAGAGTCCCTCAGCCCCAAGGGGCTAATTTGAAGAGAATAATCATAATGAGGGTTGCTCAGTCGTCCACTGTATGGTCCCTGAATCTCAGAAACCAGGACTGGCTTGCCAGCTGGTCCGGGTTGCAAAACAGCAATAAGCCCTTTGGAGCTCCATGTGACACTTTCTATCTCCTGCTCCACTGGGACCTCCAGGGGCAGAATGACTGACTCCCCAAGGGTGCCAATCACTACCTTTCCCACTGTGACTTCTCCCAGGATTCCTGACCCTGCAGACAGAGAAAAGAAAGTGTCAGTGTCTCCCTGCCCACTAAGGAAAGCCACAGACTTTGTCACTCCAAACCCACCCACTCTAGGCCCATCTTATCATCTCAAGGGTGTTATTCTCCCCTCCCCAGGGCCTGGAGAGAATCAGGATTGCTTCTCCACCTTCTGTCCACTCTAGAGCTGCTGGTCAGGGTGCATGCTTGAGTTCCTGGGGTACCTGTACTTAAGGATCCAGGTACCTGTACAAATGTGTGGCACTGAGACCAGGTGGGAGCTGCTGTTGCTGACTGGGTTCTTGATTATGCAGGTAAAGGTCAGAGCACTGTCCTCTGGCCTCAAGGAAACACTGAGGACAGACCCTCCATGGGATATCACAGTCCGGGGACCCAGTGGTGTCCAGCTGTAGGCCACAGTGTCTCCTCCGCTTTCGGCCACACATGTCAGGATGATGATGCAGTTTCCATTATCACCAATCCTGGAGCTCAGTGTGATGCGGGGTGGGACCAGCTTTTCTGAGTGTGCAAAATGGAACAGAGTGAGGACTGGGAAACCCCTCTGGACTTCTACTTTACAAGATAGAAAACACAATACATTGCAACCCAAAACCCTGCACCACCCCTGAGTTTACAAAAGGAACAACAGAGGCAGGATCTGCCCACATCTACTCTAGAGTTTTAGGCTTTACGAGGTAATGTCACTTAATATCTCTTTTGATTTCCAGAACAATTCCATGAGCCACATAAGGATGTGTTATATCTGTTCTATTTCACAGGCTTAGAATGGTTAAGTAATTTGCCCAAAGTGATGAATCCCAAACTCAGACCCAGTGGATTTGGCCTGGGTTCCTACCCCTATATGGAATAAAGAAACACATGCCTGGGACTGTGTTGTAATTACATCTTTCCCCAGTAGGGGGCTCTATGGCATGCCCTGAGCTTCCAAATATTGACAGGGGCCTGGAGAGGATGTAGTCCTGTGTTTTTGAGGTTTCTTCCACCCACTTCCACTGCCTTGCTATCCTCTTCCCCCTGGCCCATGCATCCCATACTATTCCTCAGATGCCCCCTTCCCATTATTTGCCAGAACCAGGAGCATTTGGGAGAGGAAGCAAGAACAACAGACAACCCAGACAGGATTGACCAAGCCATAGAGCATGGGAGGAGGACACTCTGCTATTCATCCTCAGTCCTGTGGCCCAGCTCACTGCAGCCCCGAGTGTCCCCTGGGAGGAAGCAACTTGAACTCCCACTGGTTAGTAACTTTCTGCTGCCTCACCGCAGTGTCTTATAGACCAAACTCTAGCATGGAAACCCTTTCCCCTTTGATTTTTGCAGGCTCTCTTCTTAGATCCTTCACTAGTTCAGAGAGCTAAAGATTGTCACATGCCAGTGTGAGAAACGCACTCATCTGTCAAACCCAAAGAATGGACTGAGCGACATGAGGTCTAGCAAAAAGCAAGGAGTTTTTCAAGTGCAGGTGTCTGGGGAAGCAGGCACACCCAGATTGGGTACAACCAGCATTCTGTCCCCTAGAGCACAAGGTCCCTCCTCTGGTTCTTCATTGTCTGAGTACTATCGGGTATACAGCCTTCCCGAACGCCAGCTAAGTTTTACTATCTCCAGTTGGGTTATTCAAAGAAATACACCTTTTGTTGTCCTTACTTCCCTGGGTTCTCTGGTGGCAGGAAAGTCCCTTTGGATTGAGTCCCTTTGGGTGAGAACACAGTGCATCTCTGTTGGTCAAGCTGGGCCCCCTTCTTCTCACCTCCTGTTTGTCAAGAGGCTATGGATTTCTATATTTGGTATTAACTGTAATTCTTTTCATTCTCTCCCCTTCAGCTGCCTTTCTTACATGCCAAGTCATTTTACATTTTAAGCTAAATATTGCATTTTGAAAATGGACCACCAGACTTTTTATGTCTCATAACGGGAAGCCAAGGAACCAGGGCACAAGACACAGCATCAGGATACCTAAATTCTTGTTATGGTTTTGATATGAGGTGTCCCTCAAAAGCTCCCATGTTAATGTAGGAGGTGATATGGTTAAATTATAAAAGCTGTATCCTAATCAGTGGATTAATTCATTTGATGAACTAATAATTTGAATGCACTACCTAGGTGGTAACTATAGGTAGGTGGGGCATGACTGGAGGAATAACTCTCTGGGCATGCCCTTGGGGATCATATCTTCCCCAGGCTCCTCCCTCTCTCTCCCTGCTTCTCAGGCACCATGACATTCTGCCTCACCTCAGGCCCAGAGCCATGGATTCAGCCAGCCAAGGACTGAACCTCTGAAACAGTGAACCAAAATAAACTTTTCCTCCTAGCAATGACTGTGAGACTGACTGGTTGGATATTTTAGGTCACAACAACAGAAAAACTAACACCGTTCTCTTTCCAAGTCTTCCACCTGCTGAGTTCTGTGTCGTGGACTTAGTTTCCTTAACTGAGAATACAAACCCTTGCCTGCCCACTGGCAGGGCTGTTGTAAGGCACCAGTGACGTGGGAAATGCTCTGTGAAGGATAAAATCCTGGCTTATTTTTATGGTTGTGCCCCTGGGCATCAACCCAGAGTGAAAGGCTTAGGGGAGTGCCTCCCCCTGGTAGATCAGTAGACCCCCATCTCTTGCCCACAAACCGATCAACACTATTCCATGTGGAGCACATCTTGCCAGGATAGCCATCAGCATGTTGAGAGGCCTTTCCCACCAGCTTTGGGCCCACCCTAGTGAACATCCTACCCAGGTTCCCACAGCTCCACCCCTCTTGTTGCTAAGAACTGGCTGTAACCAGCCCAGGCCCCAAATCTCCAATCGTGTGTACCTGACAAGGGAGCAATCCCAACATCCCCCACTAGACCAATGGCTCCATCTCATGGGAATATTTTCTAACACACAACCAAGGAGAATGGCAAGACTCCCACCTTCCTCTGTCAGTTAGTTTCCCTGGGTCCCCCTCAGTCAGCCTCCCTACCTTGCCCACCTAACCACTGCGGGGGAACCACTCTGCCATGACACCCAGAGACCTTGAACATCTTCCTCAGGCTAAATTTGAACCACAGCTAGTCTGTATTGGGCCAAAATTTCAGAACACAAGAGGCTAAAAG